GCGGTTGTGCCCCTCCACTCGTCCTCTGTGGCTCGGGGCAGTCGGAGCTGCGCGACCTTCCCCTTCACGACGGCCAGGCCTACCCGGCCTCCGCGGACGCGGCACTTGCCGAGCTGCCCTCTGCGGCGTTTAACTCCCTGACCTGAATTCTGCTGTCCCACATGTTCTCCATGCCACAGGTTTTGTTTGCGCTCTCCTTGCTGCAGAAATCTAAAAATACTCCGGCGACTCCCCCCCGCCATCCCCCCTTTCTGGAGGAGTGACCTTTCTCCCTGCTCTGTTTGTTTAGTGTTTCAGTCATGCTCTGGGCCCAAATTCCCTGCAGGAGAGACTTCTTCTTCACTTATTTCTTCTAATAGCTTTTGCCTTAGCAGAAAGTGAGCTTGTGCTGCCTTTTTCTTAGCCAGGCCTTTTTAAAGGTACAATGGCAAATATGATCCCCTGCCCCCTCCCCCATCTTGTAAGAAAGAGCTCGTTTTCCTTTTAATTCTTTGTTGTTCTGCAGTTACTGTGTTTTGTACCTTCCCACGGATGAAGTCCTAAGGAGTCAAGTGCTCCTCCAGTATTTAAAAAAACAAAACAGAAAAAAAAAAAACCTTAAATATGCTAAGAGTTAAGCGTATGCCTACTTTGGCTATTCTGGTGACAAGATACATAGTTCCCCGGGGTGTATCCAGGTGTTAAAGTGTGGGGGCTGGCTCTGTGAAAGGAATAACGCACAGGGCTTTCTGCAGGTTGTAGGACACGCATGCTACTGTGCCAGAGATCTGGTTCAGGCTTGATTACTCTGTCCCAGTCAGTGAAAGCTGAAGTCTTTCCTGCACTGAGGTACAGCCATGGCAGTGGAAACCCTCCTGTCTGATGATTAGGATAGTCTCAAGGTTTAAGAGGAGAATTTGATTTTTGTCAGGCTGCAGAGGGCCTGAAACCACGTCCTCCTTACTGAGTATTGCTCTCATTAGTTGGTTACTCTATACAAGATGAAGTGTGCACAGCTTCATCCATCCCTTAGGGGAGGAAAAGTGGGCTCTAGACAGCTCTTTGAAATGCAGACAGTAGGCACCTGCTGGCTGTAAGGTTGTAGAACACAAGCAAAAAGCAGAAACTTCTGAGACTTCCCTTATCCTCAGGTTTTTCCATATTTTCTGTCTCCCAGTAGCTTCCCGCTGTTTCCTTATCCATGATGCTGATGCTGTCTGACTGCTTTCCGACATACCAGCTCTCCTGCCAGCATTGTGTGCTGAGGCAGAGCACCTAGTGCAGGCATGTCAGTCCTCCTCTGAGGACCAGGTGCTTCCATCTTTAAAACCAGATTTAACAATGATCATGGTATTTCCCAGGGCCAACAGGCTTTGCAGGGTTAACAGTGTATCAACTCCTTAAATGCAAAGAGTTGTACTACTGCTGGCAGAAGACCTCTTTTATTGCACATAGAAGTTGACTAAGGATTAGGATGAGGCCTGCGCCACAGCTGCGGTGCAGGCCGCTGCTGTCTTACCAGCTGGGAGACAGTATGCTTATCTGAAAAATCATATTGTGGAGCAGGAACTAGCAGGGCAAATGCCAGTCATTTACTGGTGAGTCCACTGACTTGCAAATTGAATGGCTCATTACAAACATTGGGAGATTAACAGTAAAGATAATCCACTGAGCATGAAGAATCCTACATAGCCTCAGGAGATGGACAGCTAAATCCTCCTAGCCAGTATACACAGTTAGGCCTTTGGACCCCAGGGACACAGACCTTGTTTTTGAAAGCAGCATGCTCCAGAGGAGAAAGTAAATGGAAAAACAATATCATCTTGCTTTTCTAACCCAGAAAAGGAGCCTTGAATGTTCATGAAAACAATCTTTTATTGCAAAGGAAACAGCAGTTGAGATTTTTCTCCTTCTCATAAAACTAAGGCTAACATGATGAAAAAATGTCTTAGCTTTCTGAGACGACGTGAATTAGCAAGGAAACAAGATTTTTTACTTCAGTTTATGTCTTCTCTCGTTAAACGCTCTAAGAAATGCTGCCTGAATTACTTGAGGCTTTTTGCAGAAGTACTAGCCAACAAGAGGGAATAGTCTACATATCATATGAAGTAAATACCATCTAAATCATAAAACACAAAGTTTTACATGTTTTCATGTGGCCCCGAAGTGTTCAGAATTCATTAGTTTTGGTAAATTAAACTGCTTGTTACTTATTTTAGTCTGGTATCAACTCTATAAGAAAAACTATGTGTTGAAACTAATTAAAGGCCTTTCTTTGCCTTATTTGAGTTTTAGTGGTGGCAATACATTTTTCAATGCATGTTTTGGTCCGTTATTTTTAGTTTTCCAGGAGTAGAGGGAAAGAAAGGGGTGGTTAATTCCTTGTGACGGAGAAAGAGCTTTATTTTGAATTGTATTTTGTTGTGAATTCTCCAGTATTTTTGTTATGAATTTATCTTAACACTTTAATAATAATACTTCTTAGATTCTTGGTGGGGAAGTTTTGAATAAATTGTTCGTATTTCTACTTTTCTATGGAAAACGGCAAGGGAAGTAGAATGTTTAATCTCGTTAGGTCTGAAGAAGAAAAATGACCGTATTCCTGATCAGATCCATACTAGGCCAAAGCTGAAATCTGTGACAGTGGGTGTTACTGTCTTAGCTTGGTTATTAGCAATGGCAAGATTTAGCCTGCAGTGATCGTTTTTATTTGTACGGGCAACGTACAGTTGCCAATGAC